GATAAGTGCAAGGTCTTGCACTTATCCACATTGAACGCCATCCTGTTGTCTCCTGCCCACTTCCATAGTCTGTCGAGATCCTTTTGGCTCTGGAGTACCTGCTCCTCAGTTGTGGCCACTGCTCCAGTTTTAGTGTCGTCTGCGAATTTGATCAGCAGACTGTTCACCCCTTCTTCCATGTCATTAACTTAGGCCTGCTCAGTACAACTCTTCAACATTGTGAAACCTACTTCATTTATTTATTGGATTGATATGCAGTTACAATAGCCTGTAACTGGGCTCTCTGCATGGCTCACAAACTTCTTCAGCATAGGACCAGCATAGGACACATGAGGCCAACGCATGGGTCGCTTGTGAGCGGAGTCAAGAAGCAAGCCTTGGAATGCCATGGAAGCCCTTCTATTGTGGATGGAACATGTTGTGTGTGCATCTTTATTTCAGGATTGTGCATACTCCCATGCCCTATCGGTGTTAACAATTTCCCCATGACAACCAGGCAAGGTATACACATCTATGAGTTTGTCAGATCATATACATCAATTCCATGTTCCCCAGGGAAGTTGATGGTGCAAAAGCCTCAACCCTTATGCTTAGAACCTGTACAGGGGGCTGCTGTGTGAAGGTGTTCTTAACAGATCTGACTGAATCCTACACTTATTGAATAACTACAGAACTGGCACAAATGGTTTAGACCAAAGTAAGAAATGAATGTAGCACCGAAACAAGCACATTTCAGCCCATTAGCCTACTTCTATAGGAGTTTAATTCTACTGGAATTAATAAACATTGTGCCCAGGGCTGTTATGAATAGGGCATTTTGGAAGGTGTTCCTTCATAGGGTCTCCGTAAGTTGGAGATGGCACATAACTAGTGGAACACAACTAGTGTGCTTAACTCTATGGTGAATTGCAACCACTGGCTTCGATTACCTGAAATGCCCTGAAGTATATGGTAGATTATGGCATCCATCCATCCTTTGATGTCTACTAGTCCAGTCTGCATCTATTATAGCCATAAGAATGGCAACATAAACTGTGATCTATAGTTAATAATGGGGTACCGTTGAAAAAAGACTGAGGAAATCTATTATCTTTCAGACACACAAACATTTCAGTTGTGCAATGCCAAACACAGAAAACACTACAAAAATCAGTGTGGAATCAGTGCACCGAGCATCCACCCCACATGATAAGAGCATGGTGGCCAGAGGGCAGGGTGTGGGGTAAAAATGCCACCTATGCAGATCGCGTTTCAACCCAGGCCACCATGAGTTACAGTCTGGCCAGTACTGTGAGGGGCCTCTGAAAGAATGCTAACCCTGGGAATGAATACAGAGCTACGCAGATCTTGAATGGCAAGCAGGAATGGGAGC